AGACTTGTATTCGAAACCAATAGATTCGTACGGAAGGCCGATAGATGGCGGTAAGAGGCCGCAAACTGTCACGGAGATCTACAAGCCTGAAGTTTACCAACTACCGGACACCACGAGCCAGCAGCAGGAGGTGAAGACCGCGCAACAACAGACGTTTTCCGGATACCACAGCATCAGCCCGCTCGCCAACTATGCCTTCCAGGACAGCGCTCTGCCTCCGAGCATATTAGGTAAAGCCTATTACCATAAATATCCATTTCATTCCTGTTACATAAGGCAAATGTAATATACTTTTATTTTTATTACTTTTCAGGGTCTTTCGGATCTTTCGGTGTGCAATCAGTAAAAGCCAGGGAACCCGCATATCCAACAACTAAATCATACATATCACCTCAGCCTACCAAACAAACTATATTCAACTCGTTCAGCTATACGTCAAATAACAATTTCAAATCAACTCCGAGCTTATTCTCTGTCACCACGCCGAAACTACAGACGATACAAAACCAATACCAATTCGGCACAACTGTTAACGATTTCAGAAATATACCAACCCCACAGACAAAACTTTCCAACCATCCAAAGATAGACCCAAATGCGAACGGCAAAGGTATATTCAAGCCTAGCCCACAGGATCCGTTCATAAAACCTTACCAAAGTCTAGATGTAAATAAAATAACGACATACAACCCAGTTATTCAAACGACGACGTTGCCAAATAGTTTCTACTACACCACACAACATAATGCACCGATTCAAAATAATCAAAATCAACAAATTGCACAGATCCAAAACTATCAAAACCAACAAAACCTAAACTATAAGTATGAAAACAAAAAGAATATTATTCACGATAATATAGCCGCTGGTGTAAACCAGCAAAATGCACAGAAATATGCCGACCCACCGAGAACACAACTACAAGAGACTCCCTCTAAATTATCTCAACAAGGTCATTACGAAGTTACTGAAAATCACGATGACATCATTACTAACTCATCTCCTTGGATGTCATCCCTTGAACCGCATCGGAACAATCTAAAGGCAAGTGAAGAATCAGCACTAAAGCAAGAAACTTTCGATGCAATTTTCCGGCAGACTACTACGACGCCGTACCCTGATGTAACTGACGAATTCGTCATCGTCACCGAGAGCGAGAAAGGCTATGAAAACTCTTTGAGCTACGACGGACAAGTCGAAACACAAAGTAGGCGGCCATCGGAGGATGAATTCGAACCTATTGATAAGAATAAACTCAAAGACTACTACTACAAGGTATCCACGCCATCGTACGGTGATCATACATACGCTAGACGAACAAAGAAACCAACCGAAGCATCTAAACTATTTGATGTAACCACTAGTCAAAGCGCTAACACTGACATTAATGTACCAATAGAGACTCTGCCGACGCTACCTCCGAATAAACACTTCAAACGTCCGAGTACTCCGGAACCAGTGGACAAAGATAGAATACGTAAAAGAAATAAAATACGTAGACGCCGTCCTGGCTTTGCTAATGGTAATCGTAACAATCAAAGCAAGGAAGAAATAACCACTCGTAGATATGAACAATCATCGTCAGAACCAACGCTGACCACAACGATAACCGAAGAAGTTTACACAATAAGACCCCGAGTCAGACCGTCTAAACAAGAACAAGGTCAAACTACGCCCAGCGTTACCACAGACTTTACCACAAGCGCCTTGCCCACCATATCACCAACTGTACCATCTATAGTAAGAAGGAAGATCGCATACCGGCGTCCGCTGACCACGCCAGCTGAAAAAGTTGACACAACAACAGTCGCATACCGAGAACCCGACACAATCAAAGAATCACCGATTATGAAGATATCGTCTCGACCTCAATTATTGAAATTAACATCAAGTATTTATGAGTACAAAGCCAACGATGTTCCGGACTACACTCACAAGCAGGACGAGAAAGACACACCCACCAGCGACGTATCCGTCAGCTTAACTGACTCACTTAAAAGTTCAGATGAAATACACAAAGAATTTTCATTCCACAGAGACGTAAAACCTGTTGAAATTAAAGAAACGACTACCGATGTATTAAAGGAGAGCAATGAGTTCGCTTTCGAAGCAACCACGACACCAAGGCCAGAAACTACAACACGAACGATAGGGAAGAGATTAAGACCAAAGAACAAGCAAGATCGACCCAAGTTTAACGTCAAAGACTACAGAAACAGACTAAGCAGTACTACTAGCACAACAGAAAAGACTATCGAGAATACGCCCAGATTAAGATACGCTCAAAGGAAAGCTCCTTACACGGAAAACTCGAGCAACGATAGCGATAACGCCACTGAAAGGAGACGTTTTACACCAAAAGATCCCAGGCACAGACATAATAAAACAGAAAATAACGAGCAACTAGAAAGAGAGATACATTCCACTCGCCAGGCGGGTAGACAGAGACAGACGACGGTCGAAACTGAATCCACAACACAAAAAATATCATCAAGAATTAGAAACGGTTCGCGAAGACCTCGCCCCACAGAAGATACTACTGAAACGACCAGTACCACAGCTTACAGCAGAAGACCACTTCGCAAGAAAATAAAGGATTCAGAAACGGGAGAATCCGTACAAGATATAAGCGTAACTGATGCTTCGAATACTGACGTAAAGAACGAAATAACATCAGAAAGATCTCGATCTGAGAGCGCTATCATGAAAATAGCAGATAAAAAGCACCAAGATCATATAGAACATTTGTTCGAGCAGTCGAAAAGAGTTTCCGACTTGACATTAGCGGCCAGTAAAGATTATAGCAATCCAGGAATGTTCAAAACAGTATCAGGTAGCAGTAGACGAATACCTAATTATTTCACAATAGCAACAGACGACCCTATCCTTCCTATAGAGGCGTTCTTCCCACAATTAAACCAAAAGAAAGAATCGTAATCAAATTAGTTTTTCATCAAACTAATTCTTCAATTGCCAAAGCGAGCGGACTATTTATAAAAAAAATGAACAGTGAAAGAGTCTATTTTTTTATCTGTATTTGACTGTTTTGAATCTACATTACTTTTAGTTACTAAGACATGTCACAACATAATAGACCGGTAAATACATAAATTAGTTATGATTGAAAACTGATTAGTTAGTAATAAAAGTAATTTTCCGAATTTGATTTTCTAGGACAAGTAACGTCATAGAGTTTGTGATCCTAGTTTCCAAAACCAGTCTATTTTACTGTGACGATTCTAATTATTTTATAAGTCTGTGTGAGATTATATTAATCTAGTTAGTATGAGGTATTTCCTTGTTTGAATGTGTGTATGAAATATTTATGTAAACTTAGTTATGTAGCTTGTAAATAAAACATTTCTCTTAACAAAAATCTTTTATTTAAACAACACAATAAAATTTTACATTTTTATTTTACAAATTCAAGCAGCGTTAGCTTGTATTGCTTGTAATTTGGACATTTTCTGCATACATTTCACTGCCGCTTGATGAATGCTCTTATCTAAGGAATCTGGAAATAAACAAATAAATTATTTACCATTGAAAAGTACAGAATAATCCCTCAATTCTAGTAAACTACCGAGAGTAAAAAAGTTAAAAAGAAAAGCTTTTACAATATCTTTGTAAAAACATATTCTATGTTTAGTTTTTGATCGACTTTCCAAAAAAATGATTCCCCCCTTAGTGGACCAATTTTTATTTTTTTTTAAATTCTTTTTTTATTGTATGGTCACCCGACATCAAAGTAATAGTACAATATATACATAACAGCTACGATAAGGGAGGTTTAATGAATGAATTATTTCGTCACTTTAGTGTATATTGTTTGGAAGTCGATTTTGTTTTTTATGTAACAGAAATATCACAATGTTTTAGTAGATGCAGTGAAAACAAAAAAAGGAAGGCACTTACATATCTTATGTTGTCCCTTTATAGGGAACCGTAACCGCAGACTGATCGGATTAGAACATATGAACACATATGGACTGTCACTCTCGCCCTCAGGATATCTGAAGTAGATTTCTAATTAACTAACTGTTGACTACGACTCCGTCCGCGTGGTATTGCAAAAGTAAGTAGCCTATGTGTTCTTCCATACTCTGCTCTATTTCTATGCCAAATTTCATACAGATCCGTTCAGCCGTTTAGGCTACAAACTTTAACAAACATCCATCTAAACTTTCGCATTTATAATATTAGTATGAAAGTATGAAGTATGATATTCTGCAAATGTCAAAATGCACAAATATCAACAAAGGCCTTTGTCATTGGCTAACAATTACCGTTTCCATGGCAATCTTGGTTTGCTGCTATTGGTAGATTTTGTTCCTTTCCCGTGTAATGTTTTTTTTCAATTTATTCCCTTGCCATCTACCCTTAAATGAAATAGTGGCATTATGGTAATAAATAAAACTCACATTTTGTCATACTCCTCTTGCGGCAAACAATCATCCACATGCACGCAGCCGAGCAGGCAACCAGTCGGGTAGAATGTCGGGAACTTTATTTGTTTTTCTGAAAAATAACAATAACCTAGAAAAGGCTACCCATAATTAATTATATAATCTATATATAATGAATTATGGGTAGCTACATATTGTGTGAAAAAAAATGTTAAAACATGCCTAAAAACGGTAAGAAGTATAAACAGCTTGGTATCAATCTAAAACGTAGATCCATTACGAAAACAATATCAGTTGATAAATAACAATTACCTATTATTGATTTCCTTCGATTTTATATAAGTTTTATTCGTATTAACAATTGGCCAGTAAAGTTGTACAGTAAAGTACAATAGCGCTGAATAACTGTCATTCAACAAGAATATCAGTAGTTTAAATGTGATATTTTATAAGTAACTAGCTGTTCTCGTGCGGCTTCATCCGCATGAAATGATGAAATTCTTATTTTATTGTTTACATTTGTCAAATTATCAATAGCAAATGTCAAAATGACATGACATGACAAACCATAGTAATCTTTCTTTCTTGACGTTGGCAGCAACTTAAGGTCTCTTTCCCACATTAGGGTTTTTATCCAAAATATTTACCGCCTAAGTTTAATGGCGTGAAAATATATAGCCTAAAGCATGACGTAAGTATAGGCCTTTTTATTAAAAAATATGCTGTAATTGCTGACATCTTAGGCAACAAAGAAGTCCTCTTCAAAAAGAAGTGTGTGTTTACGCATTATTATAATAGTATAGATATTGTGGTTTTTTCAAATATAAAAGAAACTTTTAATAAAGAAATAAAACTG